GAAGTATCTCACAAAACTTTCTAGTTCCTTCATAGCTCACTAAGAAATCAACAATCTCCTGAAGACTAATTTAATTTCCAAGGTACCTTGGAAAAAGTGTTCTGGATAGCCAAGCAAGTATTGTGATTACCAGGAAGGCAATAATATGGTAACTCATCTGTTATAAATTAGTACGCTAGTGCTCTAGACCAGTGCCATCTAACTGAACTCTCAGGAGCAATGAAAACATTCCATATCCTCACTGTCCAACAAGTAGCTGCCAGGAAAATATGGGTACTGAGCACCCGAAATGTGATTATGACAAAATAATTATGGTAACATAAAGTTCTGAATTTTATTTAATTTCAATTGACTGAAACTTAAATTGTTACATGTGATTTGTGACTGTTATCTTAAGCACTACAGCTCTAGATTATAAATAACCCTTTTGAATTAACTGACAGGAACCTGTTCTCAAGATACTAGTTATTCTTGAATGAATTAGAAAAATCTAGTTCGCACTGCTATTGACCCGAGGCCTGGCCCCTGAACCACAGTGACCCCATGAAGGCAATCTGAAGCTCAGTCTAGAACATCACATCTTCCCACCACTCCACTGTACCAATACCCACATGCCGCTCAACATTCCCTAACCTGTCTGTGTCACTCAGACCATAAAACATTTTTCATGTAGTCGTTACACTCTCTTTGCCGCCACTTAATCAAATTGACAGAAACTAAAGCACATTCCAAAGGCATCAAGCAGAGATGGTAAAATGAAAAGGAGACAGTAAAGAAGCATGCTTTTGTACTAACCTTTCATGTCTAAAGGCATGGATTCAAATATAAATCAAACACTAAAGCTTGGTAGTCACATCCAAAACCCCAGGTGGCTATGCATCCTAGTCATAAAATTCTTAATATATGACAAGCTGAAAAACAGAACAGATGGGAACAATGGGCAAATTTGCTCAAGGCCACAATCATTAAAAGGCTGGGTCATGGACAATGGAAGTATAATAAATGCCCCAGAAGTCTGTCCTTTGATTATTTTCACAAGTCAATTCAAACAAGAAAAAATACTATATCACTAAAAATTAATTAGGGAAATTTAGGGATGGAAAAGAGAAGACAATGAGGAAGACAGGGGAAAAGAGTGCATGTTAGTACATACATTTCTTCCTGTCCCCTACTAAGTCTAAGAAATCTAATCACATAAAATAACTAAACTGAAGACTATTCAATTTTGTTTCCTTTTTTCACACTCATTTCTGCTCAAAGAAGAACTACACATTTGCAAAATGATGTCAAATCCTTAGAGGTTAATTCCACCAAAATTCTTCTGAAAGGACTTGATCTTTTTAAATGTTAAACCTAGAAATAAGGTTTTTAAACTTTAGTCGTATTGCAGTTATAATTCTACTTTCTTAGCTGAGCAATACATCAGAATAAGAATATTTAATCTAGCTTGGGTTTCAGATGTTTAACAATTATGTAGCATCATCTTTTTGAAGGCCATTCAAACAGTTCGTCTTCATTGCACAGTCCTCTTGCCCCATCACCCCCAGGCAGCCAAGCCTTCAGCATTTCTAACGCTGCAGTTTGAAAACTGTCACTCTGCTATTTATTTTGGCTCATGGGTACAATACACGATAACTATGCTGTCCTATTGTTAAGATTTATGTATACCTTTATACCTTTTTATGCTTAAGCGAACTGCCTTCTCAACAATTAGAAACAATCACAGTAAGTTCACTGGCTGGAAAATCAAAGTGCAACAAAAAATAAACCATTCTGTCTAACCACTTAAACCTCATCTTTTTGAATACTCATTCATTCATTTCTTGAAAAATATAAGTTTTACATTGAAAATTTTACATTGTTCCTATTATATGAAAATACAAACATGAGTATATAAATTCTTTCCAAGTTTTTAAAAGTATGTTATAGTAAAAACAATTGTCAAATGTTTTGCTGAAGAAAATGATAATCTAACTGAACAAACCTTTTAACGTGGAACCAGAAACATGTGAGGTGGGGAAGAAAAGGTGAGTACTGTGATAGAAGAAAAAAGAGAGCTACTCTGGCACAGTTTTAAGCAAAAGAATAATTTTAATTTCAGAACATAACAAATAGCAAAGTATACCCTCTTTCTGATAAGTGTAGAAATTAAGACCATAATAAATAGCAAAGCACACCTTCTCTGGTACAAGGCAAAGCAAACAGGCTCAGGAATCCAGCCTGAAAAATTTAAGGGATGGAGCAGGCACTAATCCAGTAACAACAACAACAAAATCTGAGAGCACAGCCGCAGCACTCACATTAGACAGGCCCTGAGAAATACTTTGCTGCAGGCATAGTCATTGAAGAAAAAAAGTGACATGAACACAACACATTCACAAATGCAAACTCACGACCACGTGTTCATTCTCTACTAAGGTGATGACCATAAAATCCAGGTAAAGATGAATAATCCCATTTATCTACTATTTCAGTGCTTTTAGAATCACAGGATATGCACAGCTACACAGAACCTCAGAAATCATTCATTCTGAATTTCTGATTTTATAAACACAGAAATGATTTTTCCTGAGTCGGCAGGATAGCAAATCGCTGACTCATAACAGTGCTCTTCCCACTGTCAATGCTCCCAAGTGTCTGAGTCCCCACTTTCATCAAACCTAAGATGTCACTTTTAAAACCCATTCTTCTTCGATAACAGTAGGGTTACACCAGGCTTTGCAACCTCAAAGAACATGACCAACTGTTGCTTACAGAAGAATGAGACTAGCCCAAAGTGCCAAGAAATAAAAAGCTTCCTCCAAAGAAGGAGCAGTTACTTCAACAATGCTGCAAACATGATGCATTCTTCCCTTTAAGAAATGTGATTACTGGTTTTAACAGTTTCCATTTAATTTCTGGGGAAAGTGAGTTAACAGAAATGCAAGCTGTCACAGTGTAGCAAGCTCTGAAATCTCCACTCAAGTAAAAAGCATAATTCTGTTAGAGACAAAGACCTTTGAAAAATGCTCATCTCCAATTAGCATCATAAAGACTGTAAGATGCATATTCTCATTAATTTTTAGTCCTATTTAAAGAATTTAGAAACCAATGCATAAAGACTGACTGGAAAACTGTTAACCACTCTGGGCAATACAGACAGCATATAAATTTTAATAACTCTCTCTTGAAAAAAGGAGGGCCCAACTTGCCATACTCTCAAGTATAAAAAATTCAGATTGCTGATGATGATAGCTACTAATTAACCAAGGTGTTAAGGCCTCTTCCTAACCCCTCATGTACTGTGCATGTTTAGTCATCATTTCTAGAGTTGCAAATGTGCACTGATAACCAAAAAAATAACTGCGCACCCACACGATTTTTTAAGGGTTATTCATCAGTCATTAAGAGCTGATCATTATCAAGTCACAGATCTGTTTTCCAGCTATAAAATTTAAAAGGTAAAAATGAGAAATGTGTGCTATGACGCTCTGCTACATTTGGAAGCTAGAAGTCCAGTTCAAATTCCAATGCTGTATATATTGCTATTTGAAGGAGGTCATAGTCAGTTGTCATAAAAATTATTTTTGAACCTTTCATCAAAAATAATTGGGAAAAATTAAAAACATATGAACAGAAGCCTAAATAATTTATTGAATGAGAAGCAAAGTAGATAAACTGTACAACTATATAGCTTTATATTTCTTTACTCTGCCCATTCCCCCTCAAACTTAGTATTTTAACCATACTATGAATCATAATGCTGTTCTAATAATGCCATTTAAGAGTGTTCGCTTCTTTAAAACGTGCTACAAAATTTCTATGAACTATTCAAGATTACAAAAGTCATAGAGCACATTAGATGAAAGTTCATCACTCAGATAAAACTTTAAAAAGTAGATAGACATGTGAAAAGTTTGAGAACCTTCCTATATCCCATGTAAGAATGTAAATAAAATCTTAGAATAAGCAGCTGAGTTGAAAATTACATTTCATTTATTTAATTGCAGAGGAGGAAGGTGGTAATGGTGATTTGGTTAGAAAGCCATGACATCATTCTTCCATAACAGAACTATACAAAGAGACACAGAACGGACTTGACAGCAAAATTTTTATGTTGAAGCGCAAGCTTAGCCAAAACAAGTATTTATTCTCTGTAATTAATATTTCTTCCATATATAGGGTTGAAGCAACAAGCTGCAAAATTCTTGGGATCAAAACTTTCTCCCAACATCAAAGGATCGTCTATACTGATAAGACTGCCAAGAAAAATTACATGTAAGAATGAAAAGAGTCTTTTAAGAACTGTAAAAGGATCTATTTAGCATAATGCTTTGTGTAAAGATTTTGATCAAATAAACTCTATTGTTCTGATTTAAGCACAGATTTGAGCTTAGCTTTTGTATTTCTAAATGAAAACACTTTGCTAAAACAATTTTGAGGGGAAAAGGTAGTAACTCAGTCTGCTTACAAAACTAGATTAACTAATAGTATATGGAATCTTCACTTCCAGACGTTAAGAATCTCTAGCACATAATGCTTGGCATCTCCAAGACTATGTCACAAAAAACAATGGTGGTCATCTTGAAAATATCACCAAAAGCTCCACCTTTTCAAATCTGATGGAATTACAGACACAAAAGTCCCCATAATATACAATTCCATTTATATGAAACATCCAGAATGGGAAAATCCACCAAGATAGAAAGCAGATTAGTAGTTGCCGTTAGCTGGAGGGAGGAGGGAATAGGGAATGACTGCTAATGGGTACATGGTTACAGTTTTCATGAAAATGTTCTCAAATTAAATAGCGGTAGTGATGGTACAACTCTGTGAATCTACCAAAACCCAATGCACTGTACACTTTCCAAGAGTGAATATTATGGTACGTAAATATTTCAATATATCTATTAAAAAATTAAATCTAAATTAAAAAATAGTATGACAGAACTGATCATATTAATTGATACTACAACAGACTCATTCAGAGCTTTGCACCTATTCCAACAGTTTCTTTTTACCTTGGCAAGGCGGCTCATCTGATCTTCCGAGACAGTACTACTTGTTCTGCCAGGAGTTTTCGTGGGTTCTGATCCATCTGCTTCTACATTAGGCCAGACTTTCAAATCATGCATCCCTTGGCGAAACATGCTAGGCAAAAAGAGTAAGTTCAGGGTAGAAGTAAATTAATGCCATTCATTATAGGAAATGTTAGATTCCTAAACAGAAAATCCCACACTAAGAAATACGTGTCTCTTTTGCCAAGCTTTAAACCTCCAGTGGTTGTAAAGCAGCTAAGCAACTTCAATCCATGTAAAACACTGTTTTTCACATGTCATTCTTTCCCCCTCCAAACAGTCAGAACTATTACAGAGATGGTAAGGGTAGACTGGACGAACGGAAGGATCAATAATAGACCGCACACCCTTCAACACTTCAGTAGAGATCGTAGAAGTAACAGAGACCAGATTCCTGCCCAGTGAAAAAATGTCATATTCACAACAACTGAAACAAAATTTAAATAATTATGTAACTGTCTCCTTTAGGTGATGAGTCAGCACAGTAAGCTGTACCATCAAACTGTGGGGTCCAAATCCCAGTTGTGCCATCTACTACTGATGTGACCTTGGGAAAACTGCTTCACTTCTCTGTGCCTCAGCCTCCTCATCTATAAAGTGTGATTGTAAAGAGCACCTGTATCTCATAGGGCTGTTAGAAAAATAAATAAATCAGCACAAGTAATAAGTATTTACAGTATTAAAGGCCACCAAATGGGTATTCAATAAATGCTAACTATTACCCCTTTCACTAGGCACAGGTTGACTCTTTTCCTGTTTTCTTTTCTGTAAGAGCAATGTCTAATATAAAATAAAATAGTGGATCCATATAGGGAAAATTCCCATGTCTACAAAACGTATAGTGAGACATTCTACCTGAGTTTAGTGATCCTACTTTAAAGTGAAACAACTAACGACCTTTGATTGTCATGTTTCCTTCAAAAAACTACCAAGAAGATCTAGAATACAAGCTGAACAAACTCGTACAGGGACTTGTGACAGCTACCCTTTTTTAGACACACTACCGTCAAGTTTCTTTGTTTTGTTTTACAGAGGGGGTTAGAGGTAAAGGAAGTCTTGTTAGTGCGTCCTCCCTGTTTCAGTGTTTTTGTTTTAACAAAACCATTCAGTCAACATGAAGTCTACTCAAATAGTATCCCCAAAGCTGAAAAAGCAAGCTGCCAAAGAATAGGCAAGTCCAAAGCACTTTGCGCACCTTCATTAAACATTTTTTAAAATAAGGTACATGTTGCATATATACATACGCACACACACATTTTTCCAATCTTTAAAAACATTGCACTTAACTGTAAAAGTTTTGCATGAATCTTTAAAACTGTTATTATCACGTTCTGACTAATGGAAAGTTTCTTCATAGATTTTCCTGGAGTAACAAAGAGGATTTTCGCTAAACATTATACAAAGTGATGATGCCATAAACATTTAGTTTGGGAACTATAAAGGATGGTTAGAAGCTCATGAGCACAGTAAGATTAAAGACCATATCTGTTGCAAAGTCTCTAAGGTGGGCAATAAACAGGTAATACGCAGCAACCACATCTGCAAAAGCTTTACTTGTAAGCCAAATACCAATGCACTGACTGGCTGTGAAGAACCAAAATTCTTAGTATTTGCCATGTTCAAGATCAAAAATGAAAGTTGCATTACAAAAAAAGCATATACAAGCCTTTCATAGAGTTCACTTTACTTCCAATTCAAATGAGATATAGATTCAACATCAGGCAGACCCGCTTAGTCTCTAAGAAACTGAGGTAACAACATCACTTTAAATGAATATCCTTAAATTTACCTTCAGAAACCTCAGGTCTCCCTTCCTTTTCTCCACCTCCCTACACTCCAGTGACTACTTTGACTGGCTGAACTTAATGAACTAAATCAAAAATAAGTGCATTTGGCAGGAAGTCAGTTTACTAAACGATTTAGGAGCCTTGGGATGGGTCTGGAGAGATTTAAGGATAGGGGACATGGAGGGCAGGGGCAACAGCAAGTGACTCAAATGATTAAGTAAACATATTACTTTTTTGACACTAATGGAAACTTTGTGGAGTTGCACAGCCTCCAGGAGGCAAGCCGGAAGATGCTCCAGAGCACCATGTCCACTTGGGAAATTAAGCCAAGCAGGCAAGACAAACGGAACAGCACAGCAGCCCTCCTTCGGATGCCAGCGGAGGCCCCAGCAACAGCTGCCGCTGCTGCTCCAGCTCCCAGTGCCAAGCCACTATAGCAGCAACGGCCCTGACTTCAGAATTCACATTTGGAAAAGACATCTGCAGGAGAAATCAGCAGCTTGCCTATGGTTCTCTGCCAATTCAGTCTAATGATCAATCCATTCCTTACCTACTTAGAAATCTCACAAGCTAGACTTTCAAAATGAGAACCATCAGTTATTCTAGCCATATCCTAACAGATATGGTCTTTCAATTATTAACAACACTATTCTTCAAGAAGTACTGCTTCACACTGACTCAAGTATAAAAAACAGATACTTGCAAATAGCAAGAGCTGATAGTCACAAGATTCCCGATACTATAATTCAACTATAGATGCTTTGAGGACCACTATTTAAAACCTACTAAGTCCATACCAGAACTATTTAGGGAAAACTGGGGAGCATGTCATATTATTTCATTGCTTAAGAAACATTTAAGGAAACCACTGTTTCCCTAAGTCATGAAGATATGGAAACACACGGCATAATTTTTCATGGAAGGTAGAAGAAAATCAGGTCTGGGGCGGAAAAATGCCCACGAGCCTGGAATAGCTTGTCCGCCAAAGAGCACGAAGCTACTAATGACCACTGGGGTCACTGGGGTGCTGTCAAAAGGACAGGGGATCGACTTGAAGGGGCTCCTACTGAGCATTACAGAGAATGAGGATGGCGATGGAAATACTTCAAAGGTGTTTAAGACTAAAAGTGCACGACAAAACCCCAAAATCATCAGGTTACCAGGGCACTACCACACTCTTAAAACAAATGAAAGTTAAGAAAATAAAACATAAAACATACACCTGTCTTTCCTACAGGAAGTGTATACTAAGGTAATTCAATACTTGAAAAATGACCTTTATTGAGTTCTTTTTTAAAAATTCCACTTAATATGCACAGAAAGGATAACAGAATATCAACAATTCTCTAAACGAGTGATTCCTCTGTTCCAGAAGACGAGTGACAGAAATATGGTTTTGTTTTTTTTTCCACAACAACCTTCTATTGTCCGTAAATTTTTAGAAACTGTGCTAACAACTTTTCTATCATAATCACTACCATTGTCAGCAAATTAGTGCTTCTTAACCCTGCTTGTTACCCTTTTCATCACTATTATAACAAAGCAGAAAAAACAAAGCCATTACAGTATACACCACACAGCGTTTTTTCCTGAAAGCAAGACTCTAATTTCCACCAACTGTTTTCTAATAGGAATCACATTACCAATCACTAAAAGCAGAATACTATAATTGTGTTTCTTAATTAATCTATTTGCCCATCTCATAGGAATTGTTTCAAATTCAGTCTCAAGAATGACAGAACTATGTACCGTTAGGTAGGATGGACAGTAAACCAAGGCAGGCATGAGGAGGGAGACGCATCTCACCCACTGACTCAGCAGTCCTGAGCCTGGTCTGATAATACTGCCAGCTGTTCCAACATCACAAGAAATGCCATGCTACCGCAGGAGGAGGGGAGTCCTTGAAATTCTATATACGGTTTCCACTATGTGGGAGAGAGCCTTTGAAACTGTGCTTTCATCCCAGGGTCTAGAAGGGGGAAGAGGAGGAGATCCTCAGAGCCTAAAGGAGTCATTCATTAAACAGCTTTGCTTAACTGCCAACCTCTGGTCACTATATGTTTTACACGGGCGTCCCTAATGCTTACAGAAAAGAGCCCATAAATAGCTTTGGGTAACTGCCCCAACTTTAACTGCCTCCTGTCATATATCTGCTTTACAACAAGATGAACAAATGGAGTTCAGAGCAAGATAAGAATTCGAGCTAACAGACCCCCATACATACCTACATTTGGGAAGTCCCCCCAGGGGAAACTGGCACCACCTTTACCCCCCAATCACTATGTGACTTCTTCACCAGCATCCCACCAACTGTACACTTCCTGAGGACAAAGGACCTGATGCTTTTCCCCACTTGCTCTTGCTGCCCTTGCTTTTTGCCACTGAGGCCTATGCCTTCCACCCCCCACCTCAGCAAGGCCCACTCTCTTCCATGAGAAGGTATCACTAATAAACTTTGCTTGCATGCTAATAGATTTGCTAATATGCAATTCTTTACTGTGCCAGCAAGAAGGAGAACCTGAGTGGGCATAAACTATTGAAGCTTCCCAGAAAGAAAAGGACCAGAAAACTGCAACATCTCTACAGACTGGGAGAATAGAATGCTCACCCATATTTTCCAAAGAGTGACACTGTTGTCCCACCGACAGGCACTGCCTTTCCTGGTCCATACACATCCCATATAGTCAGGGCCACTTGGGCATTCCTGGGCAGGTCGGGGTATTTCACAGGCAGTTTTAGCCACTCATTCCAGCTATGGAAATAAAGTCAACATAAGCATAGTTTTATTTTAAATTAGCAAATCATATGAGAAGGTTCAGCCAGAGAAAATGTCCCAAAAGATTAAGTTAACACTACAAAAAATATTATGATAGTTACCTCAATTTTGCTCTAGGCAACTTTAATTTTAAATATAGAACACATGAAAAAATTTCTTTGAAAAAATAAAGTTCATAAAACGTAACACTGGTAAAGCCTTTAATCAAAACATTCAGACAATTATCACTAATTATGATAATGGCTAATAATAATCTGGGAAAACACTTGAACCTGTTTATAACCAAACTTGTTTTGAACCAAACTGTGATTTTCTCTAAGCATTCCCTAGAACACAGGTTTTATAGTATGAAAAGAAATCAGAATTACTCATATTACGTTCAAAACATTGCTGAGGATAACATGGTCCTATAATGTACCTGAACAAAGCAGAAAACAACCAAAACCTTAAGACGGAAGTGGATGATCTACTACCTTTGTAACATGAAGTTACGGGACAGCACCGAACAGATGTAACATTTTTTTTACCTGTGGTTTTTCTCTTCCTCAGGTTATTTCATTAATACTGATGATGCCTAGATATTGGTTTTTTAGTGCTTTTGATGCATGTTTGTATATACGTTTTCCTTAAGGAACATTTGTTCTTAATGTACAGTAGTGACAGCATAACTTTTTTTTACCCTTTATTTACCTCTACAAATTTCCTTCTGTATTAAAACTTCATACTGTATGTATATGGTAATTCTGACTCCCTTAATCGACAGCTGGCTTTTAAAATTCCAGAAGAAAACTATGCAAAAAAAGGCAAAAGAAAAGTATGCAAACAATACACAAAGTAATACCCAACAGATACACAGCATTGTTCCTCTTTTCTCAAAAGTATTGTTTACTCAGAACAATTTGCAAAGGGGCATATACCATTCTAGGTCAAATACATGTATTATCAGTAAAAAATTGAATAGAACTTTAAAAAACTTAAAGGACAAATCATTTATACCCACCATATAAGTCCAAAGACCTACAGGAAAATTAGAGATGGACATTGATTTAAAGGAGAATCAAAGTCATAAAATCCTTTTCTTCTATATAGGTCTTGGAAAGATAAATCACATGCCTAAAAATGCCATTCTCCATGACAGACAATTTTGAGGAACTAAATGAATTTATTTAATTACTCTCCATTTGGTGGGCCAGGCTAAAAAGGTAAATACTAAGCAGTATCATCTTCTGCCAATGAACGAACCACAGAGGTAACACTGCTCAAGTCAGAGAGAAAAGTCAGCCAGCAGCTGACTTTTCCATCCAAAGTGAACTGTGAAGATTCTCACTCCATTTTCTGTCCTGGGACAGAGATGATATATGACCACGGAAGGATCTGCTTTTTTAAAGTCTTCTGTGTTCCAACAAGGCCTCCCTCACCTTTAATCAAAGTGACTGTTCTTTAACCTGTTTTACACGCTGGGCTGCTTCAGGAGAGTTCTTTAGAAGAAAATGAATCTGCAGCTACAAAATAGCTTGCAAACTGCTCTAGATATTTTAGAAATTCTGGAAAGATCTGGTCAGACATCAAAAAGCCATGTGTTCTGAACACCATTTTGTTCTCCACCCACCCCCCCTTCCAAATCTCCCTTAAGTTCAACACTAAATTCACCTGGCAACTTTCACAACACTGCACAGTCATAAAGCTGGATTCAGATGGTCTGATCCCCAACATGCACCTCCACCCTCAAACACCACTGTACTAACTCTCTTGTCTGATTAGTATACTCCTAAATCTTAACGTTCTAATTTTTAAACTATATTAGACTGTTAGTACATGCTTCTCTCTAAAGCCATTTAAAATCTGCTATGGGACAAGAACATAATTTTTTTAAAAATTTTAATCACTTGCCTACAGAATAATTTTCATATATAAAACCTGAAAATTTGCAAAATCCCACATCTACAATTAGAGTTTCACCTTAAATGTAACTAAAGAAGTACAGATATCCTTCACTATGGGCTATCTCATTATAGGACAGGACAGGATAAAATATGATAGAATAAACTTGGATAAATTTTGAATGAATTCATTATTCAAACTCTCACAAACTCGCTTCTGATAGAGTTAAGAAATTTGTTGTCTATTGTTTTAGGTGTAATGATAATCCTGTAGCTATGTTTTAAAAAGAGATATACAAAAATATTTGCAATTAGGATAATATATTTTAAATTTCCTTCAAAACAACAGTGGGTATAGATAAAAAAAAAACTGGCTTTGAGTTAGTAATTATCAAAGCTAGGTGATGGAGCCTTGGAAATTCATTATATTATTCTCTCTACTTTAATAGGTCTGAAAATTTCCAGCGTAGCAAATATATTTACAAATATATACTTCTGTGTGTGAATGTCTATTTACAAAAAGACTACTGAAGAAATTACACCATTTAAGTAGCTGGTTTCCATGCGGCCCATCACCAGAGCTCGGGTTTCTGCTCTCTCTGAAAACCCCTCCCAGCCTGCTGGGCCCGACTGGGTAACTTGGGGCTGTACCCTCGACAGCAGAGCCTGGCAGTCTGTGTGGCCACACCTTGACTCCCATGAACACTGTGAGATAAGCTCTTTCCTGGAGCAGCTGCAGCTAGCCCACCAGGGTACTGAACGGCACAGATGGCGCATTAAAACTGCACCAGGTAACCTACCAAAAAGAAGTATCAAGAGGTTAAATTAAGGACCCACAGTATTGTTCTAGAAAGTCAGGAACTTCATGTTCCTTGCATCCTGACAATGGTTTGCTAATGTGCCACGCTCAATAAACCATGAACTTAAAAAAAAGTTTCGTATAATAAAAATATGATCTGAACAAATGACAGTAGATCTCTCTTTACAAACTGGAGCTTCAAACATCTGACTGGACAACATTTAAGACTATCAAGAAGTGTTTATGTGTTCAAAGACATAGAATATAAAATTTAAAGATGCTACATGTGGTTTTGATTGGGTCGTTTTGTGAATCAGTCAAGTTCTTATAAAAACACGTCAATATACTAAATACAAATAAACTCACTTCCATCTTAACTGTGTTTAATATTTTATCCTGAGTAGGTCACTGCTTTAAACTATACAACCAATGCTTCTAAATGTTAAAGAAAATTTTTTTAAAGTTCCCCCGTAACCACTACCCAATCATAGTTAACAACACGTATAAAGAAGCGGGAGAACAGTCTGGAACCCACCATCTGCAAGAGGACTACTTACTTCCATCTTGTACTAAATGCCTTGTAAGATGTTCTCACTGGCAAGGCCAAAGGCTTCCCTTCTGCAAAAACTTGACAAGTAACATAAAGGTCAGAGCATGTCTCTTGGTACAGTCCTGAAAACTTCAGCATGGGGTCTTCTAGGACAGCTTTGTAACTCTTTTGTTCTCTTTTGCCTTCCAAACTTCCTCTGGAAGCATAAAAACAATCATGTTCAGACAATGCATAGAGATAACAAATACTAAAGACTTTATGGCTGTTACAATAAATTTGTATTACTTAAACCAGCAGTCCCCAACCTTTTTGGCACCAGGGACTGGTTTCGTGGAGGACGATTTTTCCACAGACTGGGGTTGGGGGGATGGTTTCGGGATGATTCAAGCGCATTACATTCAAGTTCAACTCCTGCCATGCGGCCCCGTTCCTAACAGGCCTGGACCAGTACCGGTGTGCAGCCCGGAGGTTGGGGGACCCCTGTCCTAAACATTTTCCTGCATATGACATTAAAGTTACTTTTACATCTAATAAAGGTATCCTTCCCTAAAATTATTTCTATCTTCATCAACATATTCCTCTATCTTCTTAACTTTAAACCCTATCATTAACTCTTGGTCTACCTTCTAGACATCACTAGCTTTCCAGGCCTTGATTTCATTTTTATTAATTCCCAACTGAGCACTTATTTATTTATGCTTTCAAACCATTTCTGTATCAGGCATAGAGGCCCAGAAATGAGAGACAAGATAAACAACACTATGTTATAAGAAAATGGTAAGTCCTTGCTTCTGTGGAGAAAACTTACTTTTAACTGCACATTCTTTTTCATTTTTTCTATATAGATGTATTACCTGATCATTTCTTTAAATTAAAAAATATGGTGTTGTAAATCATTAAAGATAAACACAGAAAACAATAAAAAAGGTAGAAACATCAAATGGAAATCAAGATTGTGTCAGATATTGTACCGAGCGTTTTATATACTCTTTCCAATTTATTTTTCACCATATGCTCATTTTATAAATGATGAAGCAGAGACTCAGAGACCAGGGATCACCAAGTAACAGAGATGAGAATAGAAACCCAGGCAGAAAAGGCCGAAGCCAACACTCTTCCCACCACAGAAAGATACTGGAGCTGGGGACTCGGTGTCCCAGAAAATTGTCTGAAGTGAGCCTGAACACTATCTGAAAAATGAAAGGCAAAAAGGTAGGGAGTCATTCCAGAAAACAAACAAAAAAACAGTAGCATATACATGGTCTGTCCAGAAAAAGTCTGGCCACTGTTAATATATCAAGAACAGTTTGCGCAACATTGATGTAACGTGGCAGTCAAGGAGAGTGGACTGGAATGCACATGCATGAACGAGGACGACTTTACTGTACTAGTCAGTGGGGTGGTAGATTCCATTGAGTGAGCATGTGTATTGTGTGGCCATCATTCAAAATGACGGAGCAAGTACAGCAATGAAATCTGCATCAAATTTTGTGTTAAGCCTGAACATTCCCCCAAGGAAACTATCTGGATGATTCAAAAGGTCACAGCTATAGACAACCGGTGACTGGCAACTTCACTATGACAGTGTACCTACTCATGCACCACATCTTATGCAGTTTTTTGGCAAAACATAAAATCACCCAGGTGATTCAGCCCCTTTATAGCCCAGATTTGGCACCCTGTGACTTCTGGCTTTTCCCAACACTAAAATCATCTTTGAAACAGAAGAGATTTCAGACCATCGATGAGATTCAGAAAAATACTATGGGGCAGCTGATGGTGATTAGAACTGTGCAAGGTCCCATGGTGCCCACTTTGGAGGGGACTGAGGCATTATTGTCCTCTGCATAATGTTCTTTTATCTTGTATCTTCTTCAGTGTCGCCATTTTTCATACTACCTGGCTGGATACTTTCTGGACAGATCTTGTACAAAGGCAAAGAGAACGACGTTAGGTCTGAGAAACTGCAAGTTGCTTGGTATAGATACCTAACACATACGGCTCATGTCGGGAAAAAGCTAGAGAGTTAAAAGTAGGGGGACAATGAAGCTAAGCAGCCACCAAATACAGTCCAGTGCCTTACACAAGGAATATTTGAAACTGTTAATTGAATTATCTGAAGTGACAGTAAATATAATCAAATTTGTATGTATAATACCTTTGGCAGGAGTATAAGAATATAATGGAGAGGTGGAACCAAAGGCAAGATTAGTTAGATTTTCAGTCAAAATTAGACAGGAAAAGGTGGGAAGATAAGGCTAAGGAAGTGGGGTGGAAAAGATATTTAGCAAGTAGATTCAAGACAACTTGTGAATGAACAAACAGAGAAATCAAGAGATGGTGTCTGTACAATGCAAAATTTTCTGTCTTAACAAACGCAGTGAATGCTGCTAACCATCACCAAAGTAGGGTGAGGCAATATAGAAAGTCCAGAGGGGCAGGCTAATGAGGTGTTCAATTTGGGACAAGTTACTTTTAAAGTTTAATGCTTTGGGACATCCAAAGTGCATGTGTCTTCTGGGCAGTTTGATATTCAATTATGGTGCTAAGAAAAGATTAAAATGATAGAAATGGATGAAAATGCCTGGAGAGAATAAACAGAATTAAAGAATTTACTCTTCCCTGATTTTATGATTCTACATTGATATTTCCACCCCCCAACCCAACAATCTGAGAAGCTAAAAAATAGTACTAAATTTTACTAAATTTCTGATTAATGCTTTATCTTTGCCTCAAAATATTCAAAGAAGTATCTGTTAATAAAGGACCAATTTTTTTCTTTCCATTTAACTTTCAAAGGTTTCAAAAATACACTCATACGTCCAAGAAATACTGGGAGGAATGAAACTGATGGGAAGCCCTGTACCAGAAGGTCCTGTACAAGCATCTAGAGGAGTATGATGTAGAAATTACTTTAAATGGGTATGTAAAGTCTTTTAAAAAATGGACAGTATGGTTGTTGACATACTATTTTTACCATCACCCAAAATGAAGTCAATTAATTTTCATAATCTTAAATAACTTCTGAAAATAAAAATAAACATGCAAAAGGTGCACCTGACAACAGGAAATGTATTTATTGCAGGTATGCAGCCTTTTTCCTGAGAAGCATTTGTTGAATACTGACTCATTATGAATGATGTTGTGATTAATAATTTGTGATAACTTTTGCATATAAAATACACCTCTAAAACTGCCTTAAAATGGACATAATTTCCAACTCCGTCCTACCTGTGCCCCTCAGTTCCATTATTCTTATCTCAAGATTTCAAGCCCTTGGCCTTTACTTTAGTGATGCCCCAAGATTTTCCTGTAAGGCTCTTGTCTATCTTCTTTGTAACTGACACCCTCTTTGACTCATTCCTAATTTCCCTGGCGAAACAATTCAGACTGTCCAAAGATTCTTCCCAACCTTCTACCACTTTCGGTGCTTCTAATGCTACTGTACGTGGTCATCTCATTTTCAGCATCTATATCTGCCTGTGTCTACCTCTCCATAACTGCAGCCTGCGCTCCCCCTTCAAGCCCCGCTCTAAAGTAAAGATCTTCCCGTTATTAACTGGGGGACGACTTTAGGGAGAATTGATTTCTTCATCCGTAAAATTGGATAATCCCTCAAAAGTTGCTGTGCACATCAAATTGCTTTGAAGAAAGTAAAACACCGTGGAACTTAAGAGTTTATTCTTAATAGCTGTCCTTCTCCCAGAAACCATGTCCTCAATCCTTCCTCCACAGCACCCCTCTCCACGCTCCCGTTTTCCTTCGCAGCCCTGGCAACAACCCTCCCCGCCGCCCCCAAGCCTGCCCTCAGACTAGTAACCACCCTCTCCCCTTAACCCACAGGTCCCTGCCTGCCTCCCCGTCTCTAAATTTCAGCAATGCCAGTCCCTGTGCCCAGATTCTCTTACATCTTAAGCTGCACGTTGATATCCAAGTCACAACTGTAGATATAGTGAAACTTCTCCGCTTCCCCCATTGCGCCTCCGCAAAAACAGATCCTACCGCTGGAAGTAAGGCGCTGGAAAACCCGGGGAATCAACCAGCTGAGTCCCAAAACACAGGCGCTTCCGGTTCCGCCTCTCACCCCGGGCGGCGCCAATCGTTGCCCGGTGCGAAACCGGACGCGCCGGAAGTCCCCGCCCAGCTTTCCTACTGCGCAAGTGCAAGGGAGCCCACCATCTTGCTTAAGGGTAAATAAGAGTCCAGAAACAGAGCCGGTTAGCTTACTTTCCAGGCTTTCTGCATTCCTTCTGTTTTGACAGGACCTTGTTGTATTATTAAGAAAACAAGGTGACTTTTGAGCTTGAGCTGTTGCTAATCAATACAAGAGAAAATTCGTTTCATAAGGAATTATAACTTTCACTGGCTACAGGCGAAACAAGGAAGTCAGAGGTCACAATGAGTGGAAAATTCGCCAAGTTTAAATTTCAGTGGCCTTTCTAAAAATTGTAGATTTAATTTAAAAAATTTGCTATCTCAAGCAACGACCCCCCCCTTTCTGCTCTAAAGAGTGGAGAAAGTACTTGGCAAAGCAAAAAAATGAGTTCCTGGCGTTACCAGTATTCATGCAATATTTGGCAAAGTACTTGGGTGCCTGTTTGTACTGCGCGTGTTCGACCCACTGTAGCTTTCAAGATTGTAATTCCAGAAACGTCAGTAATGACTACAGAACTCAGTTTTCTAAACCCTCCTACAACGCTTGTCTTTATAATATTTAATATAATCTAAAATTATAATTTTCATTTCCAACTAGAGTCAAATTCTTTGAAGGCAAAAGTGGTGTGCCAATATATTTCTGTTGCTGCGTTTAATAATTCATTTTTATTATTATTAGTGATATGCATAAAAGTCTCTGTTTTCTTTGTGTGTGTGTGTGTGTGTTTTTTTTTTTTTAGTAATGCATCGTAAGAGGAAAATCACCAGAGTATGTATAATTTACAGTAACTAGGAAAAAATCTCAGGTAATGGTTAAAGGAAATGTAGTTCCCTTCAGGGCAAAAATTAAAAAATGGCTAATGTACAATGTTTTGTCCAAAGTAAGGTCTCAACAATATCTGTGGGAGCAAGATTAAAGGAAAACATGATAGCTATGCTACTGTAACTAAAAATTCCAACAGAAAGAGAGCAGTTACTTTGTACTTAAGTATAACTGCCACCAATGGTTGGAACTTAGAAAAAACACGTAGATGCAGCAAACAATAAAAACTGACCATTTGAATCATCAGAGCTGCCCCACAGTAAAACAAATTGTTACAAGTGCCCTGTCTGTGGATAATTCTAGCAGTGGGGGTGAGGTTAGATGTCAAACAAGCTTCTCAAACTTAAATAAAATATTGACAATTTGTAAAGAACTAAATTTTCTAAACCCAGTGCTGACTTAAATTACTGTGTAGTGTTATTTAATGTCTAAACATAAATAGAACTTCATATATAAACATACATATATTTCTTATAAATGCCAGAAACCAAATCTGGCATTTTGTTTCCTGGGCCAACCACTGGTCAAGAAGATGTTGGTTACTAGATCTGCGTATCAGAGTGCACTTGTCAAGGCCATGTCCATAGGGGAATGGGAGCCTTAGGCATTTTATTTCGAAAGGAAGAACATCATATTTTCTTTCCCATGTGATCTTTTACAACTCATTAATATAACACATACTTATCCAACACAATTTGCATTGAAAGACCCCACGGTTCCAGAGACCACTGCCTGTCTGTAAAAAGATAACCTTTATGCATAGGTGCTTTCTTTGTGTGTTAGGGTACTTCATTAACTATTTGGTTCTATATGTAATCCACCTTTGGAGTTGCCATTTTGATTTTATTTTTCTTTTGCCATTCTGTTTTAATTGTATGCTTAATTATTCAAATAATGGATTTTAATGACGGTTAAGAAATCTGTTGATAATGGCCCATTCATTTGAGTGGCCCAGGACTTGCCCAGTGATCATCAAGTTTGTTTTTGTCAACTTCTGTCACCCAACTCACCCTCCTTAGCTTATAGTTAAAAAAAAAAAAACTGCACTCACAGATTTAAAAAGCCACCACTTATTATTAAGCTTTCATCAAGGAAAAAATATAATATTAAAATTAAAAAATGACTTCATAATTTCTTCCGCTCCAATTTAAAAATTGCCTTTACAAATTTTTCTAATAACTCTATGTCATTTAGAACCAAATCACATGGTAGAACAAATGGTATTGAAAACTTGAGAAATTCTACATCATAAGCCAAGACTCTTGGCCATTCATCGGGTGACAATGTGGAAGACGGTGTGGTTGGGAACAGCGACCAGTGATCCCAGAGCAGCGTCCCACGAGGCCTGGGTGGTGCCGGTCAAAGGGGAACTTCAATCCTCTACAGAAGGGGAAAGATAAAAACAAACGGTATTTTTTCAAAATATATTTTTCCAATTACAGTTTACACTGAATATGATTTTGTATTAGTTTCAGGGGTACAGTATAGTAGTTAGATGATCATATACTTTACAAAGTGCTCCCCCTCATATTTTTAGTACCCAACAGGAAGCAAATGCTATTCTTAAAAATAATAAAAGGGTATTTTGCACCTGTGCTTATTTGTAATGTTTTTATTATAAATGGAAGAAGCTCTTCTCTTAGTGTCACAATTGAGGGAAAGAAAAACTTGTAGTCAAATGACATCACTGTAAAGAGTCTCAGCTATAAAGAGGAATGGGGCCCTGGCTGGTGTGGCTCAGTGGACCGAGCACCAACCTGTGAACCAAAGGGTCGCTGGTTCGATTCCCAGTCAGTGCACATGCCCGGGTTGCAGGCCAGGTTCCCAGTAGGAGGCATGCAAGAGGCAACTGACAGATGTATCTCTTGCACATTGATGCTTCTCTCCTGCTCTTTTCCCTCTCTAAAGATAAATAAACAAAATCTTTTAAAAAAGAAAATAAAAGAGGAATTGTAACATACCCCAATGCGAGCAACAAATGTCGGAAGCCTTCAGGAGTTTATGATGGAACTTTATTGGCCAAAGTTTCAAAGTTTTACCTGCACAGGGGCAAACTCTCAAGGTGTCTCCGGAGACACGGTGCCAAAATGGGTACAGATGAGAGCCGCGCCTGGCGCTTACAGCCTGGGGTTTTTATTGGTGTGAGCAAGCAAGCAAATACAGAAGCAGACGTAGCTGTTAGCAATTGGCTATCTGGAGAGAACACACATGGCTATGTTCTCTGCTTGCAACAATGGATACTTTTCTGCAAGGACAAGGTCATGCACAAGGTGGTTTATCTTGTTCAGCACTCTTTGTACTTTCTGTACTTTCTATCTTCCTTGCTGAGACAGTCTGGAGCCTGCCTCGGGTTCCTTTTGGCTACTTTTATCTAATTCCAGCCTAACAGAATGAGGTCATATGTCCACTAGGAAGTATGAATCAGGAATGGGGTGGTGGGTTGAGCTCTTGGTGCCTTCTCACATGCCCTCATTCGATATGGCAGTGATTTCTGGTACTGAGACCTTGGAAAGGAGAGCAAGCAGCTGTGTGAGAAATGTCTGATTGTTATTTACATTGTCTTCAGTCAAAAATTTTTTCTCTTAATTTTTGAAACTCGAAGCTCCATGAGCCCTGTGAATTACAAAACTGTACTGGACCCTGAGAGTTTGTCTTTCTCCTCCACCTCTGCAAAGGAAGCTTCTATTAATTTTTTGCATTGCAAGCCTAGCATCGTCCTCTCAAGAGAAGTCTCCTCGCACCCCATCCACCTCCCCAACACTAGGTATGTCATCTCCCTGAAAAATGTATCCCTTTTTGTATTCTTCCTTCTCAGCATTTTCAAGAGTTTCTATCGTAATACCCCAGTTTTTGAAAGTTTGAGTTACACCAATTTGCTTTTACGGAAGACCTACATTAGTACCTGTTTTTGCTAACTGAAAGAAACCCGAAGATGATTTTTGCTTTTTTAGGGAAAAAAAGGCCAAAAGCAAAAATAGCATTCAGTGTTTTTTTTTAATCCTCACTTGAGGATATGTTTATTGGTTTTAGAGAGAGAAGGGGGAGAAAGAGAGAGAAACATCAATCAGTTGCCTCCCAACTGGGTATCGAACCCACAACCTAGGTATGTGCACTGACAGGCCATAAAACCCACAACCTTTTGGTGCATGGGATGAGGCTGCAGTCAAACTGAGCCACCCTCCGCATTTGTTTTCAGCCAGCCATTACCGAGGCAGCTGCACACGAATCAGAGAGAATGCCGTCACCGCCCCACAGCGCCCCCCCAACTCCTTCCCTGGAACTACACTCAGCACCTCGGCATCGAGCCACCATTGGTTTCAATTGGGTCTCCTAAGCATCTGTGCTTTATCTTGACTTAGTTTGTTCTTCTGTTAGCAAGGTGTGTGCTCAGGTATCAGAAAAGCCTAAGAGAGCTCATAAGGGCATTATGCTTAGTGTAAAACTGGGCATCGTTAAGCATTTTGACAGTGGTGAACAAAATAAAGCCATGTGCCTGTGTTGAACTTTAGGTCTGGAAACACTAAAAAAAAATTCCAAATGAATTAATAACTGCTTCTTCTGGTTGCACCATGAGCGTATAAAAGCTTTCATAAAAACACTCTACTTTCAGATAGCTCTGTAAGAAAGGGTTTATTTCAGTTTTATTTACCGTGGTACCTACATTAAGTTCCTGACTCCGAGGAGATATAAAGAAAATAGGAAAGAAACTACCCCTTGGAAAGCTACTATCTGTCAGATAACACATTAGGCAACTTCATGTGTATTATTTTATTTAATTGTTTCAACAGCTGGTGAACTAGGTGCCCTATTTTCAGAAAAGTAACTACAAAGTAATTTAGGTGATTTGTATATGATTAAAAGCCAATACAAGGCAGAGCTAGGTATATCTGACTTCATAAGGCATGACATACTTACCAAACTGTGATGGGCTATTCCAGAGCAATTCCTGGACTTCCTTTTTGCAAGTGAAAATACATTATTAATGGCAGCATCTCTAACATCCTTGGAGGTATTTAGCACTGCTCTTGATCTCTATACCTCTAGGTAGGTTATATTCCTAGGTAAACATCTTAATTCA